CAAGGCGGCATCGGGCACCTGGCGCGGCTTCACGGGCGCACTTACCCAGAATTGCGAGACAGTCACTGGAAAGGCCTCATTGCTAGCCACCCCGTAGCCAACGATGTGGAGGTTCTCGGCCCTCACTGGCGTGATGAGCTGAACCAACAACAACGCCTTGTGTACGACACTATCCTAGGCCACTTTCAGGCTCAGAATCCTACCCAAGTCCTTCTCCACGTTGATGGTGGTGGTGGAACAGGTAAGTCCTTCCTCATCAAGGTGCTATCCTCCCATCTGCAGGCGGCTGCCCTGCCAAATCCAACCCCTATTTGCCGCGTGGCGCCAACCGGCGTTGCAAGTAACCAGATACAAGGCAGCACAATTCCTTCGTTGCTACGTCTCCCAGTGGGTGGTAATTTTACCGATCTTCCACCAGCCGATGCAGCTGCTCTTCAGTCCCGCCTACGGTACGTCAAATACCTCGTTATCGATGAGAAGAGCATACTTGGGCTTCAGCAGCTAGCGAGGATCGATTCCCGCCTCCGGCAGGCCTTTCCACAGCGAAGCCTCGAGTTCTTTGGTGGTGTGAGCGTCTTGCTTGTGGGTGATTTCTTCCAGTTGCCACCAGTCCGGCAAAAGCCGCTATATTCGACTAGCACCAGCCTGTCTTCGTTGGAAAGTAAAGGACAGGCCGCCTACCAGTTGTTTGACCGCACCGTCTTTCTGACCACGGTACAACGGCAGGTTGGTGATGGGCAGGCCCGGTTCCGTCAGGCGTTACAGGAATTGCGTGAAGTTAAGTTATCTATTCCGTCCTGGAACCTTCTTAGCAGTCGGGTACAGGCTAAGCTAACGCAGAGCGAGATCGACAGCTTTACGGACACTTTACGGGTGTATTCTACAAAGGTGCGAGTTAACGAATATAATTACAACATATGGTGCACCTCAACGCCCCAGTAGTACAAGTGGAGGCAAAGAATCAAGGCAAGGGCGCAGCACAAGCGCAAAGTGATAATGCTGGAAATCTATCTAACAAATTCCCGGTGGCTAAGGGCGCCAGGGTAATGCTCACAACTAATCTATGGCAGCCAGCCGGCCTAGTTAACGGCGCCCAGGGTACTGTATACGATATCGCCTGGAGCACCGGTGCCGACCCATATAAAGATCCCCCCGCTGTTATTATGGTGGATTTCGATAGCTATGACGGACCGTCGTACCTAACAACTAACGAGGGCAGGACAATCTGCCCCATCTTCCCTGTGACTCGTGATTTCCTAGTGGGCAACGAGACCTGCGCTCACACGCAGTTTCCCCTAATCGTGGCGTTTGCTATCACAGTTCACAAATGCCAAAGCCTAACGAAAGATCAAATAGTTACGGACCTCTCTACACGCGACTTTCAGGCTGGTATTAGCTATGTTGCTGTCTCACGGGTCACGTCGCTGCAGGGCTTACTCCTTGAGGCGCCTTTCGATCGTCAGAGCCTCTGCAACCACACACCCACGGAAGGTTCATATAGCTGTGATTTTTTACGTCATAGGTTTACGGCTAACAATAATACAGGGATGACGATGCGCCTCGTTGACCAACAACACCGTCAGGCACAACAGCTAACTAACCCACCGTACCCACCAGTCTACCTTGACTAGACGATGTCCTTACAAGATTTACGTAGAGAGGCTTGATATGTATATAGCACATGATAACTCTGGGTCTACGATGAGGCGATAGAGAAACCTCTATCAATCAACGTAAAACCCTCTTTGTAGATTTGAAGACTATCAAAACTGCTGTAGTTCCTGTCATAGGTGGAAGCCGGTTTGTAGGGGTTCGATCAGGAAGTTCAATTGCAGACACAAAGTATTACCCTTCGGGCTGGATATTCAGCTGTTAAGTCCATTGCCTTGCCAACTTAACGGGTGTTCGAAGTATTTTAGAAACTTATAAGCTTAATTATGTATTCTCCCCAAATGGAATTATTAACTATGAGTTCTCATTTCGAGCGAATACCTGAGACTCTTGTAAGGGGGTCTCGGCATCTGTTCTCCCGGGCTTGTGTTGGCGTTGGCATTGGCGTATCTGCACCAACAGTCAATACGGACTCACCCTCGATTGCAGATGTTGCAATATTCACAACTTCATATCACGTGTAACGTCATGTGTAGACCCGTAATAGGGGTAACACCATGTATAGATATCGTGACTACCAACGCTCCCCCTTTTTCCTACCTTGAATAGAAGATAGACTTGAATTGACTTTTATTGATACCCCTATTGCAGTACTGCATTATCCCTTTGAGGATCCAACAGCAGAACTCAGGTCTAGCAGAGCATTCCGTAGCGACTGAACATCTTTATGCGATGGTCCGAATAGTTCCTTGAGGTCACTGTAAGCGCATTGATAGTATCTCTTGGCTTCTAGTAGATGGCCCTGACTCCATAACAAGGCTCCTAGATTCCGCGTAGTATTAATTGCTGGCCGGTATCTTGTAATATTTTGGGGCCCTATGGTCTTTTCGTACCCTCGAAGCGCCCGTAGGTACATCTCCTCGGCCTCTTGTAGCTTGCCTTGGTCCGCGTAAAGGTTCCCTAGGTTGTTGACTGTGTTTAGGGTTGACGTATGATCCGGTCCCCATGCCTTCTCGTACCCTTGAAGCGCTCGTAAGTACATCTCCTCGGCCTCTTGCAGCTTGCCTTGGTTCGCGTAAAGAAGACCTAGGTTGTTGACCGTGTCTAGCGTTGACGTCCCCACGCCTTCTCGTACCCTTGAAGCGCTCGTAAAAACATCTCCTCGGCCTCTTGCAGCTTGTCTTGGTCCGCGTAAAGGTCCCCTAGGCTGTGAAAGGCTCGATTCAAGTCTTCATCGCTATCTTGAATTGTGGCGCGAGACATCATTGCATGCGGCAGAAGTCGCCTTTGAAGCAGCCAGAACTGAGCATCGTTATGTGGAGGAACGCGTGAGGCTATGCATTTTACCGCGAGCTTAGCAAGATAGCCATCCCAGTCTTGATTTAATATATGAATGACCCAAGAGTGCAAGCAGCTATGAATGCTGTATCCCCTTGATTCGATCAGATCTGGACTGAAGGTGTGTGGCTCGACAAATCCGAAGTCATGCAGCGTGCCCATCGCGCTATTAAAGTTCAGCTCATCAGCTAGGTCATATATCCACGCCGGACCGTCTTCACCATCGGGTTGGACAAGTTCGAACCATATGTCTTCGTTGTCAAAGTAGGCCCACCATTGGAGTAAATGAGCTGCAAGGGGGTTTTGTTCCTGGACTTGTTGGTATGACACTTGCCACGTGGAGCATAATGTGCGATCTTCGTAAGAACCCAGGTTTGGAGTGCTTGTGTGAAGCCTTGCCCATGATTTCTCGTAATGGCGAAGGTAGTCAGCCAAGCTCGTTGCAACCCGCCTCAGGTACGCTCCAGCTGTAGCAAGGGCAAGTGGAAGCCCGTCTAGCTTTCCTAAGAGCTTGATAGCATCCATGTCTGTGGCAATTGTTAGGTTGTTAGGCACACCTGGTTATTATCTGCGAAACCCCTTACCAACGTGCAAGCCATCTCGGCCTGAGGCCGATGATAGGATCTTGAGACTGTCATCCATCGATTCCAGCTTCCTGATTCGAATCGGAAGCCCTATATCGATTTGTGATGACCGTGTCGTGATAATAATTGAGCCGTGGTGCGCCGTAGGAAGAAAGCGATTAATATCGATTCCCTTGTCGTCTGTGCGGTCAGTCAATCTGGGGTTATCGTAGTTGTCGTATACAATAAGCCATCCGGTGTTGCCTGGCAAGCTGAGCCATGACTTGACAGCTTCGACTACCTCGTTGTGACTATCCTGTAGGTCTAGTGCACTAAGGCGGCTAGCATCAGGGTGTTGTTGCAAAATCTGCCTCGCAACTTTGGTGAAGCTCTGTTTAATAGACGCTTCATCTTTAATGTTAAACCAGAATATGGCGGAATGTTCATCTCGATATCGCTTTGTGTATGCTACGGTAAGCTGTGTCTTGCCAATGCCGCCGAGACCATGGATGATAACGACGCGACGACTTCCATCTGAGCTTATTGCCCTGCGCACCTCTGCAATTTCTCTCTCTCGTGCAACAAAATTGTGAATCTCGGGAACCTCGGACAGGCTGAAGATAACAGAGAAATCGTTTGCTCGTGCCCCTAACAATGTTAGTTTCTAGGCCCACTCCTCATTAGTCCTAAGATTGATTTTACCCTTTCTGGCTTTCTGAACCTCTTCCCGCAGCCGTCTTTGTGCTTTTGCTCGCCCCTCACCATAGATTAGCGGCATATGAACGTCAAATATACCAAGGAGCGAGTACGCCATGTCCTCCTCGTATTTGGTTACACGGTTGCGTGCCCATGCCTCACGTTCCGAGACAGTAAAGTCGGACAAAGGTGTACCACGCAGAGCCCTCACAGGAATACCTGTAATGTCGCGTATCATAGGCTCTAATGACTGCTTGTCACCTAGCCAAGCCCCTTCTTTTGAATAGAAATCGACTATTTTTGGGGCGATGAGCTCTTGCAATGTCCATCCACGAGTGAACCATCTACTCTGTCGAAATGCATCATCCCACGGCATCTTGCTCTTCCGCTGACCGGAGGCCGCAGGCCCAGAGACATCGGGCAGGTAGACGTAGCATCGTTTTGCGTCGCGATACCACCGGAACATGCTATTGATCGCAGTTTGAAGCTCGATGCTATCAGATTTGTCGATACAGCAAGTGTCGACCCAGAAGAATTGCAACCCGTGTCGTCTCACCTGGTCAGCACAGAACTTGATCTTGTGGTAACCGGCTTTGTGCTGCCAATCACTTGGCGTCTTCGCCAGGTCCGCGAAGAATACCTCGTCTGGTCCCCAGGTGTGGGAAAGGATCGCGGAAGGGGGGACATCGTCGGAGGAGAGGTCCGGGGTAAGGCTACAGTTGCCTGCTTCGTCGCGTTGGAGTAGCCGCATCGCAAGGCCCTAAAGCCATTGAATCGGCGCGTTGCCAGGATAAAGGAGAGGATTTTCGCCACAAGGCCATGCTTCATGCGATAAGGCAGGCACCATCACCGTCGTCGCAAACACTGATCAGTCATGCTGCAAGTGCGGGGTATGCAGAAGGACTCAGCCGCAAGCCCATAAAGGGATTTTCGGGTGATGCGCCGGATCTGGTGATGTGCCTGAATTTGCAGACCTTCCCGAGACATTGCATGAGCTGCCGTTGCGAGTCTTTGAGCTGGTCAATTGCTCTACTACGAAGGCTGAGCTAATGCCATTGCTCCTCTGTCATCAGGCGACAACAGAGGAACAGACAACTGTAGAGAAGATTGTTCTCCAGGATGTCAATATTGAATCCGGCGGGAAGTGGCATTCGGTAAAAGCAAAAGTGCGAATGGCGCTTCCAACATGTTCGCTGGTCTTGGAAGGTTGTCTACACGCAGGTCGTCCAGTTTCATCGCTCTTGAATTCCTTGTATTAGTTCTAAAGAAATATGTGGCCATAATCATTCATCAATTAGCTACAATTATGGCTACTCTCAGTGTCTCCGACGGATGTTGGACTCTACGCCCACTGTGCCTCCTTAAACCCTCAAAAGAAGCATTATCATCATCACGATGGCCGTGAATGAAGATCACATAGGACGGATGGTCAAAGCAGCAGCATGCTATGCCCGCCAAGAAAGGACGTAGATTTGCTTATGGGCTTCGCAAATCACAGCTGCTCCTAACGTAGAGAAGCTCATCACTATTCATACACTCTACCCCATTCAATAGTGCTAAATACATTGTTCCTCACCACACATCTCCAAGGAGCTCTTCTGATAGCTCCATACTCTTCCTATCGGACTCCGGCTCGAGTTCAGACCCAGAGTCTCGTTCATCGCTCACAGACAGCTGACCATCGGTGTCCTCTGCATCATCCATTTCTTCGGCAGACATCCGCCTTTCAGGGGCTCCGTTTGCGCCAAAAATTGCCGCAGCAGTGATGGAGATTGACTTGTTAACGCCGCTGCTTCCTTTTTGGCTTCCAGATGGCTGCGGATGTCGTACTGGTTTCCGCCGTTGTGAAGTCGATACCTCGCCCATCCCAGCCTCTTCTTGAGTCCCTCGGTTAGTTCTGGGAACGACTTGATTGTATGGAACAGTTTCGTCACGTTCTCTCTCGTCGACAACAGAATTGTCGGCTCGCTCAGAAGGGCCTAGGAGCCTGCTCTAGCCACAATCACATGCCATAGCGGAACGCGAAAGGCATCATTTGTGGTTTCTGCCAGCTTCCATGGCACAATGTGATCCAGTGCTCACCACTGCCCCACGTTGGCCCCGCGAGGAGCGTCATCTGCCGCAGCGCCCGCCGGCAACGAAGAATTTACCGTGTCTTTGCCGATCTTCCTCAGGTCCTCTGTTCGA